AGAATGTCTGGCTACGCAGCCAAAACAGCTGGAGCGACCTCGCCACTGATAAGAGCAGCATCGTCTTCTTATCTTGTAATACTTGCTCTGCGAAGCAACTGCTTAAATTTCGCTCTTAAGATTATTTACATTAAGCTGGCGCTCTTCGCTGTAACGATCATTTATTGCCCTAACATTACCTTTTGCGAAGGCCTCGATGCTGTGCGTCGAGTCTAGTTAAGTTCGTTCGCTTCGTGCATTTGGTACGCATCGGCCACTTGCATTATAAAAACATATTAATTTGTCGCAATTGTCGCTTCGCTTAAATCGGCACGTACCAATTCGGGTTCGCTTGCCTACAAAACCTATTGTTCTTAAATAATAAACACAGACCAATTCGGGTCTGCCTGCTTATCGTAACTTATAATAAATATATAAACAAATTTGAACACAAGAAATAAAATAAAGTTATTTATTTCTATTTGTGAAAGCTATTGAAAAAGCTCGATAGCGCAACAACCATAATAAAAATATATCTCTTTTTATAATTAATATATTTAAAGGTAATTTTGTAATTATATTTATAAATACTCTCGAATTTTACCACTTCTAAATGAATAAACTCCAGAAAAACTCTTTCCATGTTGACTAAATGAATATAAATACAAAGTATAGGCAGCTCTAAAAACAGATAAAAAAGAAAGTATAATTATTGAACCTCACGATCAAGAATCAATTCTATTTAATAAAGAAATCTCTCCTAATAAATTTAATGTAGGAGGAGCTGCTATATTCGCGGATCTCAATAAAAATCACCATAATGCTATAGCAGGTATTAAATTTAATAGCCCCTTATTAATTAATAAACTTCGTCTTCCTAACCGTTCATAAGATACATTAGCTAAACAAAATAAACCAGAAGAACATAAGCCATGAGCAATCGTTAATCTATAAGATCCACATAACCCTCAATAAGATATAGTTAAAAGTCCTGCTAAGCAACTGAAGAATAAGCAATCAAAGCTTTTAAATCTGTTTGACGTAAACATACAAAACTAACTGATACACTACCTACTAATCTAATTCTTATTCATATAAATCTATACTTCAAATTTCTTATTCGTAAAATTGATAAAACTCGTAATAAACCATAACCTCCTAATTTTAATATAAGCCCAGCCAAAATTATTGAACCAGAAACCGGAGCCTCAACATGAGCCTTAGGTAACCATAAATGAACTAAAAATATTGGTATTTTTACCAAAAAATGCACATACTAAACAAAAATATAATAAGTTATAATTAAATATAAAATTATTTAATAAATAAAAATTTATTGTGTCTATTTTATACATTAAATAAAAAATACCAATTAATATAGGCAACGAAACTAACAAAGTATAAAATAATAATAAATACCCGCTTGTTGATACCCTCAACCTAAAATTAAAAATAAAGTATGAATTAAACTTCCTTCAAAAAATAAATAAAATATAAATAAATTCATTCTTCTAAATGTTAAAATAAGTAATAATACTTTTATAAAAATAAATTTTTATAATTATTATATTTATAGACTCTTTCTCTTGCTAACTTTATTAAAGAAAAACTTAAAGAAAAAAATAAGAAATACTTATTCCATAATTTATAAAAGTATTTATTAATAAAAATAAAAAACTAATAAAAAATAATAAAACTTGTACCATTCAAAATATATTATTAATAAAAGAAAGAGGTAATAAAAATAATAAAAAAAGTTAATATTATAATAATATTTAATATTATATAATTCTAAAAGATTGAAAATAATCATTTCCATGTGTTCGAATTATTGATACTAAAATTGATAAGTCTAAAGCACAAACTCTTAAAGTTAAAAATATTATGCTAAAATAACTTTTTTAATTCAATATATTCAAATAAATAATTAATATAAAAAATAAAATTAAAACAATAAATTCTAAACTTAAAAGTATAGATTTTAAATGTTTTCGATTAGAAACAAAACAAAACAATCCACAAATAAATAAAACTATTGGTAAACTTCAATACAAAATTATAATCATTAGCTGTAATAGTTTAATAAAAACATTGGTCTTGTAAATCAAAAATAAGATAAATTCTTTTAAAACTTCAAAAGAAAAGAATTTATTTTTAATTAATCCCCAAAATTAATATTTTATATAACTACCTCTTGAAATTCTTCAATTAATTTTATAGACTATAATTTTTTTAACTTCAATTATTTTTATAAATATAATCCAGCCACTGGCCATACGATTAATATTTTTAATTCAAACAATTTTAATTTTTTTAATCACTGGATTAAAAACAAAAACTTTTTGATTCTCATATATTTTATTTTTAATTTTTCTTGGTGGTATGTTAGTTCTATTTATTTATGATACATCTTTAGCTTGAAATGAAATATTTAATTTATCAATTAAATTAACTTTGATTTCAATTATATTATTTTTAATATTTATAATTTTAGCTTTAATTATTGATACAAATTCGAAAAAAAATTCAAACAAATAATATTAAATAAATTTTTAAATTATTATTATGAATTAAAAATAAAGTTTGAGAATAATTTATTAATTTTTTATACAAATGTTGGCCCCCAAAATATTCTGATCAACCTTGATCAAATTTTTTCCCAACAATCTGTCCGTAATTCAAAGGAAAATGAATAATTCCGTAAATAAAATTTGTTAAATTATAAAAAATCATTGATTTATTAATTGTATACAAATTTTTTACTGAAATTAAATAACCAAATAAGCCTCCAACAATACACACAAATAAAGATAAGAGTTTAAAAAAAAAGGTAAACAAATTATATGCGGCACAGGAAAAATTAATCAATTTAATTTTCTACCACCAATATTTCTTATAATTAATAAACCTATTATTCCTCGTAATATCACTCAACCTTCATTCTTTAATACATTTAAACTTCTACAATTTAAATCCCCCGTCATTGAATAGTAAACTAACCGAAATGAATAACATGCAGTTAACACTGTGGGAAAAAAATATAAAAAAAAAGAAAATAAATTAATATTTCTAATTGTCACAATTTCTTAAATTATATCCTTTGAATAAACTCCTGCTTAAAATGGTATCCCACATAAAGCTAAATTTGAAACAATAAAACAAGCCGAATTTAAAAGTATATGAATTCTTTAATCCCCTATTAAACAAATATCTTGAGAATTATTTATATTATGAATAATAGCTCCCGCGCATATAAATAATTAAGCTTTAAATAAAGCATGTGTTAATAAATGAAATATGGCTAATTTATAAAAACCTATAGATAAAAATCTTATTATTCAGCCTAACTACTTAAAGTTGACAACGCAATAATTTTTTTAAAATAAAATTCAAAATTAGCACCTAATCCTGCTATAGATATTCTTAAGCCTGACAACAAAAGTAAAAACTGGCCTATTCATGAATATCTTAATAAAATATTAAACCGAATTAATAAAAATACCCCCGCAGCCACCAAAGTTGACGAATGAACTAAAGCAGAAACAGGAGTTGGACCGGCTATAGCAGCAGGTAACCACGAAGAAAAAGGAATTTGCGCACTTTTAGTCATAGCAGCTAATATAACTAAAGAACCAATTAATATTATTTCAAAATCATTTTGCATAGCTTCAAAATAAAATACATAATTTCATCTACCATAATTTAATATTCATGCATTAGCTAACAATAAAGCAACATCCCCAATTCGATTTGATAAAGCTGTTAATATGCTATAAGATATTGATATTAATATTTTGAAAATAAATAACTAAACAATACGAAACCAATCCTTGCCCTAACAGAATTCTTACTAAATTTGGTCTAATAATGTATAATATTATAGATAAAACTAATATAATAAATCGATTAATATTAATATCGCCTCTTATATATTCTTTTCTGTAATAAAGAAGCAATTATTAAAACAAAAGATATAAATAACAAACTTATTCTATCAAATAAAAAAGTTATAACAATTGATATAGAATTTAAAGAAACTACTTCTCATTCAATAAAGTATACTAAATTATTTAATAAAAAATAAAGTCTACAAAAAAAACATGTTTTTCTAATAGAAATTAAATATAAAAGTCTAATTCTACAAATAGATAAATATTTCACGATCTAAAATGAGTAACTCATATCACTAACACCACAAATAAGTATTTCTTTTTAACTATTTAAATATAACCATTGTCTGGCTACGCAGCCAAAACAGCTGGAGCGACCTCGCCACTGATAAGAGCAGCATCGTCTTCTTATCTTGTAATACTTGTTCTGCGAAGCAACTTCTTAAATTTCGCTCTTAAGATTACATTAAGCTGGCGCTCTTCGCTGTAACGATCATTTATTGCCCCAACATTACCTTTTGCGAAAGCCTCGATGCTGTGCGTTGAGTTCTAGTTAAGTTCGTTCGCTTCGTGCATTTGGTACGCATCGGCCACTTGCATTATTAAAACATATTAATTTGTCGCAATTATCGCTTCGCTAAAATCCGCACGAACCAATTCGGGTTCGCTTGCCATTGTAAAACTATTGTTCTTAAATAATAAGCACGGACCAATTCGGGTCTGCCTGCTTATCGTAACTTATAATAAATATGTTAGTAAATTGGAACACAAGAAATAAAATAAAGTTATTTATTTTTATTTTGTGAAAGTTATTGAAAAAGCTCAATAGCTTATTGCTTTACATTCAAGCAGCAAACTTAAAAGATCAGCAACCTGAAATTTCGTTTTGTGCGGCTTATATACATTATAAGCAATCGACGTCGCTTTGCTTACTCTCTCGGTCGCTCAAAGTTTTTTGTTCTTTCGTGCGTAACTTATGTACAAGCTATTGCCGTTGCTTCGTTACATAGCTTGATACTTGGGTTCGCCGAAGTTCTTACAGCTATTGGTTTTGAGAGGTTTACATGCACTAGCGATCACCGTTGTTAGGTACTCAGCTAGTTTCGGACACACTTTCTATCAACGCTTCTAATGGTAGCAGAAAATAACGCCTCTAGTGCAGTGCCCTCTGCAAACAGGGTGACTTTTCTGAAGCGCAAAGTCATTTCAATTTATGACAGTTTGCAAACACTTCAAAATGCACTAACTAATTCGACACTTAGTGCAATTAATGAGTGCGGTCTTAGTGTTAGGCTGAAGCAAATCGAGCGGCTTCAGACCTCATTTGATATTAATCAAACTAGCCTCGAAGAGCTAGACTTGCGTGAGGACTTCGACGAGTTAGCAATTTCTATGGAAATTTCGGTTCGGAGTGAAATCGCGAAACGTGTCTCAATATTGCCCTGCTCAACATTTCGCGACCAATCTGTGCTGTCCGCGCAGACAGTTAGAGCTAAGGCACCGCCGGCAATACCCGCATTAAAGTTGCCTACGTTCACTAGTGGTTACACAGAATGGGCGGACTTTTATTCTATGTTCACAACCGTCATAGAAAATCATCCAGATTTAGCAGATATCGAAAAGCTGCAGCATCTTCGATCGTGCCTGAAGGATTCAGCGCTGGACGCAAATCGATCATTGGAAATAACAAACGATAATTATGCCATAGCACTTAATTTATTGGAGAAAAGGTTGAATAATAGACGTTTGGTTTTTCAGGCACACATACTAGAGATGTTGGGGCTCAAGAGGGTGGCAGGTGGATCGGTCGTGGCGCTAAGGGAGTTGTCCGACCAATTCAACGCACACATTCGCGCATTAAAGAACATGGGCAACACCGAACAGATCGCTGGATGCATCATTGTGCAGATTATCCTACAAAAGCTGGACCCATCATCACAAGCCAAGTGGGAAGAAAGGCTAGAGGATTCGACGTTCGTCAACTTGACACCATCTTGGGAGCATATGGCTACGTTTCTGGAGCAGAGATGCCGAACAATGAAAACCGTAAATGGCAAGCTATGCCCCTAGCCATTAGGTGGGAAAAACAAGAGCAATTAACACAAGTAGATCGTCATTTATCGCCACTAACCACGACGCCCCTGTCTGCGTTTTTTGTGATTGCCCTGGTCATGGCATATATAATTGTTCCCGAGTTGGAAACTTGTCCCTTGCATTACGGCTTAGGGAGGCAAAACGACTTGCATTGTGCTTGAATTGATTAAAGAAAGGCCATCAATTGCGATCATGCAGCTCTGGATGCTGTCAGACCTACGGGGCGAAGCATCATTTAAAAGCATCATATAAAATATTAATTTTATAGACTATAATTTTTTTAACTTCAATTATTTTTATAAATATAATCCAGCCACTGGCCATACGATTAATATTTTTAATTCAAACAATTTTAGTTTCTTTAATCACTGGATTAATAACAAAAACTTTTTGATTCTCATATATTTTATTTTTAATTTTTTTTGGTGGTTGTTAGTTCTATTTATTTATGATACATCTTTAGCTTCAAATGAAATATTTAATTTATCAATTAAATTAACTTTGATTTCAATTATATTATTTTAAATATTTATAATTTTAGCTTTAATTATTGATAAAAATTCAAAAAAAATTTTTTTTAAATAATAATGAAATAGAAACAATTTCTTCAAATTATTCTTATTTTATAGAGAATTCTTTATCTTTAAATAAACTTTACAATTTTCCAACATATTTAGTTACAATTCTTTTAATAAATTATTTATTAATTACCCTAATTGTTATTGTTAAAATTACTAAAATATTCAAAGGACCCTTACGAATTATAAGTTAATGAATAAACCTTTACGAACCTCCCATCCTTTATTTAAAATTGCTAATAATGCATAAGTTGAATTACCCGCTCCTATTAATATTTCAAGATGATGAAATTTTTGATCTTTTCTTGGATTATGTTTAATTATCCAAATTTTAACTGGTTTATTTTTAGCAATACACTACACCGCAGATGTAAATTTAGCTTTAAATAGAGTAAATCACATCTGTCGTGATGTAAACTATGGATGATTATTACGAACAATACATGCTAATGGTGCTTCTATTTTTTTATTTGTATTTATTTACATGTAGAACGTGGAATTTATTACGGATCTTATTTATTTACCCCAACATGAATAGTTGGAGTAATTATTTTATTTTTAATAATAGGAACTGCATTTATAGGATATCATTTTGAGGAGCAACAGTTATTACAAATTTATTATCAGCAGTATTTGGGATTGATTAGGAATTGATTTAGTACAATGAGTTTAAGGAGGATTTGCTGTTGATAACGCAACTTTAACTCGATTTTTTATATTTCATTTTATTTTACCTTTTATTGTTTTAGCAATAACTATAATTCATTTATTATTTCTACACCAAACCGGTTCATATTGTTGGGTTTATTATTATAATTTTTTTACTAATCTCTTTAATTTTAATTAACCCTAACCTATTAGGAGACCCAGATAATTTTATCCCAGCCAACCCTTTAGTAACCCCAGCTCATATTCAACCAGAATGATACTTTTTATTTGCTTACGCAATTCTTCGATATATTCCTAATAAATGCGGAGGAGTAATCGCCCAAGTTCTTTCAATTGCAATTTTAATAATTTTACCATTTAACAATTAACAATTTTATTAAACCCTTTAGTAAATAAATGATGAGATAATTTATTAAATAAGTTAATGAACTTGAACAAGCATATGTTTTGAAAACATAAGATAGAAATATTACTTTCTATTAACTTAATTAATTACTAATTTTTATTCATAATAACAAAGAAAATAATAAAATTTTTAACCCAATAAAATATAATAAATAATTTAACGAAAAAGATAAAAAACAATTTCATGCTAAATATATTAGTTTATCATAACGAAACCGAGGTAAAGTACCACGAACACAAAGAAAATTAAATGAAATTGATATTAATTTTAAATAAATTAATAAATTGAATACGTCACACCCTAAAACAATTACACAAAATAATATTCTGTTAAATAAAATTCATTCATATTCAGCTAAAAAAATTAATGCAAATCCTCCTCTTCTATACTCTACATTAAACCCTGAAACTAATTCGGATTCTCCTTCAGCAAAATCAAAAGGACTTCGATTAGTTTCAGATAAAGAAATAGTTAACCAAACTAATGCTATAGGCTATAAATATACTGAAAGCGAGAGTACGCCTGGGTTCGTAATTTTTTGTTATTAAGAATCTCACCATTGCTGGATAATTCTTCGGGACGGGCGTGCTGTCAAAATCACGTAATTTTTCTCAAGATTTGATTTCCGGCGGCGGAACTTAGCTTATTTCGTTTTTATCGAATATAAGCCATTAAAAGTTGCCGAGAGCTGAATATCGAATTTTCGATTTGGTGGAGGGTATTCTGTATTTGATATCTATGAAACAAGAATACAAACAAGCAACAGTGCTCTCTAGTCGGCAGTGCCTGAACCCTGAACCTGAACCTTCTTCTACCAACACGAAACGCACATCGTGGTGGGGGGAAGAGTTGCGCGCGGCGGCAGCTATAAAATGAAAGATACTTTATCTGTTTATACTATTCTATAAATTAAATGGCGAATTTGGTGACTACTCCTTAAAACCTAAAAAAATTGTTTAAAAAAAAACGGGGATTTCGATATCGACTTTTACCGATTGCTTGGAAACGGGGTAAGTTATCGATTATCGCAAACAAGCTCGTACTGCGCGGGCACTAGGAGGGCCTACATTTCAAGTCTCTAGCTGTAATAGCTTCTGAGATCGACGCGTTTATATACGGGCGGACAGACGGTCATGGCTATGTTTGTTTAAGCTTATTAAATTATTAAATTAAATATATAAAAGTCATAGGAATTCATATTCCATATGACTTTCATTTTTTAAATTTTCATGATTTTTTGTATCCTAATATGTGTGTTTTCGATTTCTTAAACATTCATCATTAAGACACTTAGGCATGGAATTAAGTGGCACAGAGTGAAATTGCTTATTTTTCCCACTCTACAATCAAAACGACTTTGACCCTTGAGCATCCCTAAAAACGTTGTCTGACAGTATTCCGCAGAGGTCATCAATCAGTCCGGGCTAATGCTGGCGACTCTAAAACTGGAATTTTTCTGGAGAATAGGGAGGGTATTGTAGACTGTGCAGTGTGAATTGTGGCGTTGAAAACTGGATATTCCAATAAGACAACTCCACAATGCACACTGAAAGATCTATAAGAGCCTCATAAAAGTTACCCGCAAATTCAATAAGTTCCTCCTCCAACTTTGAAATATAAATATCTAAGTTACTTCTAGTTGGGGTGAAACATATCCGGGACTTTTCTGCTTACCCGAAAGCAGCCCACATCATTATTGATCCGCCACCGTGGTTTCGGGTTTGTCATGGGTATCTTAAAACCCGCCAATATTTATGGCAACCATCTGGGGCATACCACTTTTCGGAATTCATCTGTCCAAAATTTGATTCTTTCGGCAAACATCAATCGAGCCTTTATGTCGTATGACAATAAACTTAGTAAAGGCTCCCGCAAAGTATATTTAAGGTTTTTATTTTTCGCTAAAATTTGGTTAACCCGTCTAGTGTAAACATCAAGATGGAAAAAGGATCTTATTTCATTACAGAACATTTCTTTCTGAGTCGAGTTTCCCGTTTGCACCTTTTGCACCGGTTGTCTAAAGTGGTCCATTTGTAGACACCATAAAGAAAAGACACAAAAAAAATCCCTGATAGTCTAATTATTCTTCGGTTTTTATAATGTTACCGATATAAAAAATTATCAAATATTTATAAGATTGCTCAGTATTACTGCCAAATGCACGCTGATCTCGGTTTGCACTAATATTTATTTCTTGTAAAAATCAAGTCGCGCCACAGAAAAGTATAATGACGGTACTAAGAATGGGGACTTAAGAAGCAATTTGCATAGAAGAAGCAAATATACTACAACAGACTTTGGCTTACCAGATGAAAATGCGCCGTTACTATTACGTAAGTTAACTTTAAAAAAGAATCTAGAATTCAAAATATTTACTTAACGCATCTATAGACTCTCGGGTACTTCTACTAAAGTTTTACAAATTTTGTAAAGCTATCCACTACCATTAAACGGTGTTTTCTTTCTGAATTTATGCTCGGTAATATGAAGTGTATGGAACGGGAGGCAATGCTTGGGTATACTATGGGATAAACTATGCAGTGTCTTATTTTGTTTGGTTTTTGGTACAGATTGCAATATGCAGCTTCGGATAAATTTCTCAAGGCGTCTACATTCGACATGTCTACCAGGTCTCTTTTTTTTAGTCGAATACCGATACAATGTGCTGCATCGCACCTCACAGCCAACCGGCCGAGGGGCGCCGTCGTGGAATGTACGGAACGAGGCGTACGAAGTCTAAATACGAATACCAACTAAGACTATAGGCTAGACTATCTAATTTCTAAATAGTTTAGAATATATGACTTTCCACGAGGAAGAGAAGACTCCGTTCAGAATTTTCTGTAATCCTTTTGTAATTATTAAATAGGACCCGGAACGGTTCATGCTAGGCATAGTTAGTTGAACAAAATTCTAGTGGTGTATAATTACAGGTGTATAATTAATAATAGTAGGAACAGAGAAGTTTAATAGGCTAGTCAACCTAGAAGAGTTAATATCACCCGTTATCAACTTATGAATAAATACTTCACCATGCATCGTTCTACGATTAATTAAAGAAGGAAACAAGAATTGTTTCTGTACAGATTCAATTCTGTCTTGATGAATACAATATTGTGGCGACCAGATACTAGAGGCATACTCTAGAATAGGACGCACCAGAAATATAATAAGGGTGTTTTTCGTGTACGGATGGTCAAACGCCTTTGACCATCGCCTGATGAAACCCAAAACAATTCTGGCCGAATTGACTATAGTGTATTGACGCTTGAAGTGAAAGAACAATTTTTGTTTGTTTATTTGAATACATATATATATATGGA